GGCAGGTGCTGGATTGGGACCCCAGCAAGGGACAAAGGACTCAAAGGCCCTCGCTCCATGCTCGGGTCTCCATTTTAGGTCCCCAGCACTTAATTTAGAACGGAAAGTAGCAGCACAGTTGAGTGCGATCTATTGAAGGCCACCCAGAATTTGCGCTGTTGTCCCCCGGGAGCGCACAAACCTTGCGTTGCTCTCAGCAAAGCCACATTTCGACTGTGGTTTTATCATCAAAAAGCCAGTGGACTTGTGTGTTCGTTCCTTTCTTTTCTTCCCTTGGAGGAAGCGATCCCTCCGCCTCTGCCAGAGCTGAATGATTTACATCAGCTAAACAGTGGCACATCTGACCTTTTTAGATGAAGTGATTATTTTTGGACCTGATTGCTAATTCTGTGTTCTCCAGAGGTTTAAATGGGGTGATGGAATGGCAAGGCCATTTTAAAATCCCGGAGAGGCAGCCGTTCTTTACAAAGATTGCAAATGCAGGGCTCATTGGAGGCAGCTTTTTGAAACAGAGGTGTTGAAAACAAATTAAGAAAGATTAAAATCTAGAAAGTGGACCTTGTGAGAATGATTAGCTGGATAAAGAACTCTGTTTTAAATAACATTGATATGCATGTGGGTGTATACATTAAACTTTGGACTACTGGGTTTTCAGTTGCAGGTACGGTGTATGTTCTGAATTTCTTTCTGTCCTCTTGGAAGCAGGGGGCTCCTTAACGTAGTAACAGAGCACCCCATTCCCTGTTTAGCATCCTTCAGAAGAAGGCTGCTACTCAGAGTGTACGGCTTTTGTTACATCAACTGGGATCTTTCATTCTATCGACCGCTTGTTGGCAGAATCAGTGCATGGGTAGAGATGAGTATTTTATTTATTAGATTTATATCCCTTTAAATCTAAAGGATCTCATGTGAACTTGTACCACTGCACATTGGTGCAACCATGAATATGTGCAAATGTGTGTCTTCAGGATCTGCACATCTAGAAACAAGACAATCCACTGTAAAGTTTGCAGGTTGGGGTGACGAAGATCCAAACTCACTGGAATTCATGGCAGATTTCCAAATAAAATAATGGATATTTTTATTTATTTATTTATTTATTTGATTGATTGATTGATTGATTTATATCCTGCTTTTTCTTATGAACTCAAAGTGGCTCACATCATTCTCTCTGCTGCCACAACAACCACCTGTGGGATAGACTGGGTTGAGAGTCTGTGGCTGGCCCAGAGTCACCCAGTTGGCTCCATGGCTGAGCGGGGACTCGAACCCGGATCGCCTGAGTCCCAGGCCTGGGCTCTTAGCCGCTGCGCTGCACTGGCTCTCCAGTGATGGAGACATGATGCCTGCGTGTACCAGCTACTGCTGAGCACAAGGGTGTTGCTCTCGTATCCTCATCTGCTTGGCCACTGGGAGAGACAGCTGGACTCGCCAGATCCCTGGTCTGATGCATCCTGCCTGTTCTTATATTCCTCACCCCAGCAATGTCCAGGGAAAGGTTGCATGGCATGTGATGGGAAAGACCTCTGCTCGATCCCAGTCAGGTTAGCCAGCACTCTCTTTACCGTTTAGGGAAAGGAAGGCGGGTGCAACTGCTGCTGAGGCCCTTCTGGGGGTTGCGCCAGCATGACCAGCCCCGGGATCACAAGCGGAAATGCTGCAACAGGGCAGCATTTGATGGCGGTGGCTGTCGCAGGCTCCGTGCTAGGGGAGAAATGAGCTGCACCCGAGCTCTTGGAATGGCCAGGCTCCCCCGCATACAGAGAGCATGGAGCTGGGCCCTCGGGCAGGGAGGGAGGGGGTCTAGTCCAGTGGAAGGGATCCACATGACTTCTGCTCTCTCCGCCGTCCTGCTCGAGAATGGGGCTTTTCCCGCATTGCTGGCCGGGGAGGTGCTGAACTTGCTTCCCCTTTAAAGGCTCGTGGCCAGGTGCAAATCGGCCAGTGCAGCAAACTGCAGGGTTGGCAGCGGTCTGGATGGGCAGCTGTAAGGCTCTGCTCTGCTCTGGGTCCTTCGGAATCCTTTCGCTTTCGACCAGGCTCAGACCAGGCCTCCCTTCCATCAGAGGACACCTTCCCAAAGAGGCCACCCTCTGGAGCCCGTGCCATGTGTCCCACCCGCCATGAGACGCCCCTTGTGCTTCTGGCGCCCAGTTTTCTGGGCTTGGATTGCTCAGTGCAGAGTTAGTAACTCTCAGAAGTGAAGCTGTTGCAGTAAAAGCTAGGGGAGCTGATGGCACCGAGGCAGCATGGCTTCCCATTCTCGAAAGGCATCCGTGGTGCTTGTTCGTGGGCCTCCCCGCCAGGCGCTGCTCAGGCAGATTGTCCGAGATGCGCCGTGCTCCAAAATGTCCCCCAGCCGCCGCCGCCCCCCTGCTGGTTTTGGCCTCCCTGTCTCTGGATGAACGGGCCCTCCTGGTGTTTGGTCAAATGGCGCGTTCTTACCGGCAGCGAGAGCGACAGCAGAGCTCTGCGCCCGTGCCTGCTGTCATTTGGCTTGGAAGACGCGCCGGCTTCCTTGTTGACAGCGGTGCAAGTGGCACCCGGTGCTTGGCACATGAGACGGGAAGTGGCGCGCCAGGTGCCAAGACTACTCACAGCTTCTCCGCTGCAAGCAGCTCCGAATCAGGTGGGCAGACGTCCAGCAGAGCGGAGCACAAAGCGATGCTCATGGCGGAAGCGGCGTCTGGACGTCCTTCCCTTTTAAAGGAGGTCTGTTGTGTTGGCAGCATGGGGAGAGGTCTTTCGGGCGAGGTGCAGATCTCTTGTCGGCTCTGCATGTGGCGGGGCTAAGTGCAGGAGTGCGGAAGCTGCAGCCCTCCAAAGTGGTTGGCCCATATATCCCATCACCCGTGGCTGGTGGGGATTAAAGTCTAGCTACATCAAGAGAGGCAAAGCTCTCCCACCCCAGGCTTGAGGTCAAGGAAGGACTGCCTAGGGATTATCGTCATGAAACTGCATTTATAGCCTGCCCTGTGAGGAATCCAAGGCAGCTCTCCTTTATCCTCACAACAGCCCTGCAGGGTAGGTGGTTCTGAGAGCCTGCAACTGGCCCAAAGTCGCCCAGTTTCATGGCCAAGTGAGGATTAGAACCCAGATCACCCAGGTCTCCGGTCCAGCACGAAGCCCCATGCCATGCCCACTGCACCCGCCGTGCAGTGCTTTTGAGCCGAAATGGGGTGCAGGCTGGCCTTTGACTGGCACATCTGGGAGATGGGGGACACCTCACTTGGCACTGCACGGTGTCACGGGTGCAGAAGCCTGCCTGTTCAGTGGCCCCACCCTGGTCCCTCCAGCTGCCCACTAGTCTGGAGGCGAACCCCGCAGGCCCTCCAGATGCTTTGGTCTGTAACTACCATCAGCTCCAGAGAGTAGCACCAATGAGGTAGGACCATGCAGCCCAAAATGTCCTGAGGACTCCAGGTTGGTTGGTTGGTTGGTTGGTTGGTTCGTTCGTTCATTCATTCAAAGCTTTTCTATCCCCTCCCCTACAGATGTCTCGGGACAGCTTACAATAAATAAGTAGAATAAAACAAACCCCGCAGCATCTGGCCATTAATATATTAAAACCCCAGTTAAAATGAATTAAACATTAAAATAATGGGGGGAATAAAGGGTTTTGCCCAGCACTGAAAAGAATATAACGTTGGCGCCAGGCAAACCTCTCTGGGGAGCGTATTCCATAGTTGGGGTGCCAGCACAGAGAAGGCCCTCCTCTGGGTACTCTCCCTCCTAATCTCCTTCCAGGAGGGCTCCCGGAGCAGGACCTTCACCTCAGATCTCAAGGGGTGGGCGGGCACATAGGGAAGGAGGCGCTCCTTCAGGTGTCCTGGACCCAAGCCGTTGCCCACCCAGGTTGGCTCCTGCTGCCCGGGATGACTTCCGGCATCTCAGGGCAACCTTTCCAAGCTGCCGTCTCTTGTGCTGCTGAGGGGCAACAGTGTTTGCTGGAAGTTACGGTCTGGTGTATCTGGATGGCAAGAATTTGGCCAAGGCTGGTGGACGAAGGTCAAGATAGACCTGCTGCTTTTTTGGCTGAGGTTCTTCAGGGTCCGACTTGCCTGTAGTTGATGTAGCTGATTTCCTCGGAACTCTTTGGAAGTGACAAGCAAGAATTTACTCTTCTGTAAACAGACTTCTAATTGCGACAGACTGTGATGGATGAAAGACAGAGCCTCAATGACCTGGTTTCACTCCGTTAAGCTTTGCAATTAAGCAGGGTGCTACAGAAAGTGTGACTGTGCCGTGTTACCTGGAATCCTCAAGGACAGATGGTTTCGGATGTGGCTTCCGTGCTTGCAAATAATTCTCCTTTTGAAAAGTTGTGTCGGATGGAAGGGCGCATCCCGCTGTCATTCCATCGAAGTATCACCCCATTTGCTGAGTTCCGAATTATCCAATCTCGGCGGGAACTAGAGATAAGGAAGCTGGGGTGCAGGGAGAGAAATGGGAAACATGAAAGGATGGGGAAAATTAGGGAGACATTTTCCTTCAAATTTTTCAAAAATGCCTGAGGAAAAAAACCATGGGCAATCACTTGAATGTATTGTTCCCCCTCTCCCGTTTTTCTTAGCTCTTTTCTCCTGGGCCGCCACATCTCTGGGGCAAAGCAAGTTATCCACATGGTCCTTTCTGGTGTCCTCCAGACGTTTTGGACACTGGTCCCTCACAATGCAGTATGGACCACTGCAGAAGTAGACAGGAGGGAGATCTCCAGATGCTTTAGATCTCAGCTCCCTCGTCGTTCTCCAGTTGCCTTCTGTAGCCTGGCATCCACCACAGCACTGGATGAGACCCATCATCTCAGGCCGTTATGGTCAGTGTGCGTGCCGGCAGCAGGTGGCGGGAGCTGAAGTCGCCCACATCTGCTTCGCACCAGAGGTTGGAGTAAGCTGGATTACTCCACTGGGCAGCAACTCTTGAAAGCTTTTGACAGGGTAAAGATCTCTCTAACTGGAGATGCCAAGAATTAGATCTTCTGTCCCTCATCCTTATGAACTAACTCGACAGCCTGTCCCATCAAGGAGAAATGCCCTTTTCCTAGACTCACTGGGTGTCTCATCATGTTTTAATTGGGCTTTTGAAATGAATCTTTCTTTCTTTTTGCAGGATCCACCTGTCAATCCTTACAAGGGCTTGGAAACCCAGGTTAGTGCTTGATTTTCATCTTTCTCAAACTGGTATCTTAAAGAACACCTTGATTTGAAGGGCAGGACATTCTGGTGAGCCCTTCCTGCAAAGACCATTGCTCAAGGTTCGGCTTTGTTGTTGCATCTTGAATGGGCCGAGGGGAGAGGTGTCCATTTTGCCAGATCTAAGGATGTCATTTCCTCCTTGGAGGCAAAAGCAAACTGTTTATGCTCTGCTATCCATCGTCTCGTTTTGCTCATCATCCCAGACAGATGGTATGTCAGAGGCCGGGGGGCAGGGTGTGCAGACAGACTGTTGTGTGTTTTGCAGGCTTCCTGCTAAAACATAACAATGCACCGTGTGTCAGACCTGGTTGTCACTTAAAAGGTCACAGCACTGGAGAAGATCTGCAATAGACATTGAGAGACGGGTTGGCGCTTGGGGGGCGGGGGTGGCAAGGGGCTGGTGGTGGATGTCAGAAATAAGAGGATGTTGCACATTTAATCCGTGTGGCTCGAGCATCTCTGATATCCCTGTAAGATGGAATAACGATTTCTGCCTTGCAGTCAGTTTTCCAGGACCAGAGTCCTGTCCGTGTCCACTGCTCCCTTCATTCTGACTGTTTCAGTCTCTTGAATGCTTTCAGTTTATCTGCTGTGAATGTCGCGGCATCAGAGCTTGGACTTTGCAAAATTGTTGAACTTGAATTCAAGAGCAAACTTTAGTTCTGTTATTTAATATTCCGCCTGTGCAGAAGGAATGGATTTTCTGTTTGTTTTAAATGACACTTTGTTGGGAGAAGAAGGTGCATCTTTCCAAGGCCCAAATAGTGGAATGGTACATTTGGAAGAACATGCACAAAAAATGCACATTTTCATGCCAAAAGGGAGAAAAAAACACAGCTTGCCATCAAGTCCTTTTTATTTAATCAATATCTAATATGTTTTCATACTGAATTTTATTGTTGTATTTTATTAATTTGCAGCCAGAGTGGATTGTCAATTTATCTGTGTTGTAAGCTGTCCAGAGACACACATAATTGGACGGCATACAAATTTTATAAATAAATAAATAAAATAAGTCAGAATTAACTTTCAGGTAGAATTCCAAGAACTTTGGCAGGCTGGAGTGTTGCTGATTTGCACAACCGGAGTATCTGAGTATTTGTGTATAAAATTAATGATTGCTTACATCAGCCATTATCCAAGTTTTAGAACTGCCAGGCCCAGAGCTTCTGAGTTTCCATTCATGCACAGAACATAAAGGAAATGTTATTCTGATCTTCAGCATTGCTCTTTGACCCGAACAATTCCCTGCTAAGCAATTGGCTTTAAAAAGTTGCTGCATTTTGTAGCAGTCAATTTCCAGTAGGCAAAAGAAGCTGTGCTTAAGACGCACTCCATGCAGGCCTGTTCTTAAATAATTGAGACCAAAGTTACTGGTATGTGGCTCTCCATCCCGAAAACGGTGATACTGTGAATTTCTGAATCGGGAGCACACTGCTGTGCATTTCGCCGGCCCCTTTAATTTGAGCTGTATCACGGGGGCTGGAGAGAGCCTTTCATGTGTGCTGTGCCTGTAGCTTGTGGCACTGAGACTGAGTCAGGGTAGTTTAAACGGAAGGGCTGAGATCAAGGACGGCTTACCAGGGAGACAAAACTCAAAGGATCGTCGTTTTGCATGTCGTGAAAGGCCCAGAATGGTGCACCCGAGGTATAATCATGGAAGGCAAAAAGGCAAAGATTGGTTTTGACTGCAGCTCTTTCCCCCCTGAAGGGATATTTCACGTGTTCAAAGCTGGTTTTAGTAAGGAATGGAATAGACAGGGAGAAATTCCACTGGGTTCTCTGGCTGTCAAACATGCGTGCACAGGAGCAGGTGCTGAATTCAGCCACGGCATGTTGTTTCTCCTGTGTGTCTCTTTGTCAGAACTCGGCAGTTCTGAAATTGTGTCCAGTAACAGTGAACTGTGACAAATCCCACGCTGCTTTCCTTGAAAGGAAGCAAGGCACCAGTCCTCATGGTGGAAATACACTACCACTTCCATGATGTACAGATAAAAGAAAGTACTTCTCTGCAGAACATATAGTTCAAACTATGGAATTTTCTGCCACGAAAGTGGTGATTGCCCAGCAACGTTCTCTGAATGCTACCCAGAATCTCATTCTTACTCAGGCATATTCTAGATGGTGAGCTTGGGTTTTCCTTTCCGCATAAAGATTTGCATGCTTCTGTGCAGATTTTTTCCCCAAAACTACACATCGCCTGTACAGATCTTTGCAACACAGGGATTCTTCGCCAGTTAATTAGAATGCACTCTGATATGTGTTTAGATGGGGAAAGTCTGGATGGGAAAGGGGCTGTTTCTTTCACAAAACATGTGTAAGATCTCACCTTAAAGCATACATGTGCATGTTTCTGAAATGTATGCACACTGGCAAATACCTTTCTGGTGGTGCAGGCTCGGCCAGTCACACTGCAAGCTTAGAAATGTGTAGACTTTGGCTGCAGATTGTATTCAAGTCCGTGTTCATGCTGGAAGATGCAAACTGGGAACCTCCTGTTCAAAAACAAACCATAACAGATTTTTATTCAACCCTGTGGACTACCAAGGGCAGTCAATATTTGTGGGACCTTCCACTGGATTTTTCGCAAACCTTGGCATGCCCCGTCTGTGATACGTACAGAGCTATCATGGCAGCCTTTGCCAACAGCAAAGCCTTCCACAAGTTGGAAGTCTCTGAATTTGAGAAGTCAGTCCGAGAGAGAACACAGCATGCAGGAGACGTGGCAGAAAACACATTTGAAATAGGATGACCTTTGCAACACCGAGAAGTTCCAATTAAAAGCCGTAATTCTAGTTTTTACCGTTCCCTCAGTGTCTGCAGGGGCAGGCACAAGCAAGCCAGCTTGCGTTCCAGCTGGTGTTTAGGTTCAGAAACTGTGCATTTCATAAGCACATACTGAAAGAGGCACCAAACACAACGCTGCCCATCCTCCCCGGTCGCAGGGTCCTACTTCCTTTTTCTCAGCTTCAGGCTCTGATGGAAGGCTGGCCTTGGTCTCCGTCTCACGTGTCCCCACCTGGCTGGACAGCTGTGGTCCCTTAGTGGAGGTGGAAGTTGAACCCTGGCCATAGCCCTACGGGGAGAAATATTGATAAGATGCCCGCAAAAGTCACTCGTCTCCATAACATTTTAACTAGTAGTGGTGTGGTGTGGTCCCAAGGCTTGCAGGGCACCTGCCAGAGCATCTTTTATTAACAGGGATGCTGGTTTCTTTGCCACCTGCTCAGAATCCCTTACTCCTCTGAGCTGATCTTCTCAGTAGCTGGAGAGAAACGAATGTTTCTGGTAGCAATCGGTTATAAACCCAAGTATTTCGTTGGGTCTTCATGGCCCATGGAAGTCCAAGCCACATCAGCTTTGCAAAAGACGTGCTGTGGGTGGAGAAGCAAACTGTCAGAACTGGTTTGAAAATATGGGTCAGCACCACGGGTGCATGTAGGACTCTCCTTGTGGGCACAGTTGTGACGGCTGCTATGGGGGCACTTCACAAATTTAAAATCACAGCTCCGCACACTGGGAAGGAATCGAGAACCCTCATGGATGTCCATGCGCCCCATCTCTGACAATCTTTAATTTCTTAGTGGGCACAAAGGAGGGATGAATTGCGCCCCCTGAATCTGAGTATTCTCCTTCATGGTACTGCTGGTCACCTGTGGCAACCAGGTGAGTCCTTTAATGCAAGGGTTCTGCAAAGGACACCCGTGGTCATGTGCCATTTTACTTGAGAAGAACTTTTTCCCAAAAGTTGAAACTTAAACCTCAACAATAAAATGGCAACAAATCAATTACGTTTTATCTGTGAGCCCCATATCAGCTTCACAGTAACCTTGCAAAGCAGCGTTTCTCCTTTTGACTTTGAAAACCCAGAAATGTGTCATTTCAGAGCTAGAAGAAATGGAGGTCACCACCTTTTATTTTTGGCATCGCACTGATGGCCAGCACAGTCCGCTCACGCGTCTTCTTTTTTCTTCCCCTTTTCGAAATTCATTTATCCCAATCAAAGGGTTTGAGTGCATGCAGCGTTCTTCACAGTTTGACCTTTGAAAACTGTCAGCATGATATTAAACTGTGAACATTATCATCTTATTCCGACTCGTGAGTCAGGGTACAGTTTAAATTCTGCTTTGAACAGTGACTTTTAATATGACCTCTGGCACGTCACTTGTATGTACCACGGGCTGGGATGACGAATGCGTCAGAATGGTCCTGCTGAAGTCAAAAGATGTGGATCTCAAGTAGTGAAGAAGATAGATGGGCTCCAGGGAGGAAGAGTGGAAATTTGTTAGGCGCATGTTTTAGCATGCATTTGCACTTCCCAAACTAAACCAAGTAGCCAAATCCTTCCGTTTTTGCACTTCTCTGAATTTTGTGATGTCCACAGTCATAAAGAGCTTTTCTCCATGAGGCTTCCCCATGACAATAAACAGTTTTGCTGTGATTCCCCTCCTCCCTCTATGTATTTTTGTGCCCTCTCCCTGTTTCAAAAAGCTTGGAAACAGGCCAATGGGAATAAAGTGAACAATGTTTCTAGGGAGTTGAAGGCAATAGAGATCAAAGGCTAGAAACAGCCACTTCTACAGCAGCTCTTGCCAGGGGACTCTATGGTGCCAGTAACAGCCTTAGTAAAATGGTGATCCTGGGTCTGGGTGACCTAAACAGCCATGGTGAAGTATGGAGATCTTAGAACAGACCCTGGATTTTCTCCTTGGTTTCAGAAAACAGAAACTTCAGAACTGGGTCTGGATGATGTAATGCACCCATGCCAGTAACATTTCACTGTGGCTTTTCATGACACGTAACCCATCCTGCATCTACATGGGACCTGTGGTACCAGGCACAAAAATGAGAAATCCCTAAGGAAGCGGTGGGATTTCTGGACAGGGTGGGGGTGGATATTGGAGGGTGAGGGGAATGCAGCGCCCCCGTGGGGCCAACCCCTCCTGCCGCGCC